ATGGAATATACTGATTAGCCATCTTGAGGTCATGTGACCACCCTCCCCAAGGAAACTTGTGAATCAAAACCTGAGTTGGAAAGAATTGCCAACATTAGGATCACCCACAGACAGTAACTTTTCTCAGAAACTAATTCTGCCTAAAAATGAAGAAAGTTGGAGAACTGAAAATGACAGTCTTTGCATTTGGTAACTGTTACAAGAAAAATGATTGTTTCCCTAACAATTCCCAGTGTTAAGGGGTTCAAACGATAAAAGGGCCTGGACCCTCCCCTTGCTTACCTCATTTCTGACCTGAACATCGCAGAGGGCACAGAAAGCACAAAAATAGTCCATGGGAAATAGCACCTGCCTCAGGCAGTTATTTAGGGCTCTCTTCCACCTGGGATTCGCCCTGTTGCTTTCTGCTCATTTTTCTCATGATGAGCTGATGCTTGGCTACATGTACCAGCTTTCATTATATTTGTAAAAAAAAAAAAAATGTTGCCTCTTTGTTATACCAAGGTAAATTTCCTAAAAACCCAGCATGTGCAGAAGTAGAGTCTTAGCATCTGCATAGAATAACAGAGCTCTGGTGGTGAGAACCAGGGCTCCCCATGCAGTAGTGTGCACTGGGCTGGAAGGGCTGCAAGCATCTGCCCTTCAGACAGAAGCCAGGGGAGTAACAGAAATAGGAGCTAACCTTCATTGACTGCTCACTGCACTGCATGCTTTAAATATTTTTCACCACAAAAATCTCTATTTCTGTAACTCTATGCTGTTGATGAAACAGGCTTAGAGAGTTTAAGAGTCCTATCTAAAATTACACAGCTCTTAAATGGAGAATAAGAACATAAACCCACATCTGTCTGGCTTAAAAAATACATTACCTTAACCACCAAATTATTCTAGTTCCCAATAAGAAGCTGGGAAACATCTGTATCTTGAAAGCTAAGACATATTATAAGAACACTGAGGTAAGATGTACTTTACTGTATGTATATTATTATATACCCTCAAGGAGAATAAAAAACGTATCACTTGAAGTTACTTGTTCAGCCAGATGAACATACCTGAAGAATAGTTACAGTTGCTTCAAGACCACCTTGTTAATTTTGACCATCTGTTCCAAATCTGACTCTTACTTCCAGTCCTCAGCTTCGTAATGAATTCTCAATTTAAAAGGTTAAACATTTCCCCTTCCGATCTAGTTTTACCACCATCATCCTGCCCTGAAGAGGACAACGTTAACAAATATGTCCATCACATCTTTCTCCATACATGATCAAACATAGACAAGCATGATTACTCATAAAGTGGTCTGTATTTAGCCTTGACTGTATCATCAACCTTAGTTTGAGATAACAGTCACCTTGCCCACGGTCTCCTGGGCTTGGTTCCAGCTGTGGTCTGTGTCAGTTCCGGCTGTTAAATACTTACATATCACCCTTGTGCAGGTATTACAGCAAAACAAGAAAAGAGCCTTTTATGTGGGAGAGGAAAGTCAGTGAAATGGCTCTGAGATAGAACAATAGGGCCCTAGAACAGCTATTCCTGAGGTTCCCACCAATAACAAGAACATCCAAATAGAAGGTATCAGAGGATGAGACGCAGAATGTTCTGTGGAGCAAGTTTATTTGCCTGATAGTTTAAATACACAGTAGCTTTTTAATCTGTTTTTTGACTCTGGTAGGGTAGCTTTCTCCTTTTTCACATCAACTTAACCACAAGTCCTACTTTTTGATGAGTTTGGAAGAAGCCTGTTAATCCAAATCATCAATCTTCACTAACGCAGCTGTCTTCTCGCAAACCCAGGAAATTTCAGCGCTGCAGCGGGAAAGATAAACATTTCCTTTTTGAAAATAGGCACATCTTTTGGATCCATTGGTTTGGGCATATTCTTTGGTACCAAACCTGAAAATTAACCCATTTAACATTAGCTATAAATTTTTAAAAATTAATTTATACATCAAATATTTGAAATGTGATCACAGTTCAGTGTTCTCAGTTACCAAATATAATATATATCTAAACATTGAGTGGCTTCCACTTCCACAACACATCAAAATCCCTGAAGCTGACATATCTGAGTTTTTTATTTCAAGTTACTCATATTCCCAGGTTTAATTATTTAACAAGAATGCTTAAATTCTGGATTAAGAATTTTGTTTCATCCATTAACATGGTAGAAACTACTCAATGCAGATTATATTAGATGAATTAGAATTTCTCTACTTTGGAACTTTATGAAGAAAAACAGAAAAATGAAATCACATTCTGTGTGAAAAGTTGTTTCACTTTACTATGTACAAATATATATATATAT